ACCTACTCCGTGATCTGGCCCCTCCATACCTGACCCACCTACTCCGTCACCACACTCCTCCTTGTTCCCTCTGCTCCTCCCATGCCAACCTTCTGTCTCCCCTGTAGGACCAAGCTCTGGACCTGGGGAGACAGAACCTTCTCCATCGCTGCCCCACAGCTTCGTGTCTGCTCCGATCTCCACTTTAAGAAACAACTCAAAACCACCTGTTTAAAATTGATTTAACGTTTGAATTTGCCCTTTTTTAGATGTTTTACTGTTTTAAGTGTTTTTATTTATTTTGAACTCGTGTAAAGCGTCTTTGAGTTTTTTAAAAAGCGTTAAACAAATAAAATGTATTACAGTTATTGTTCCTCCTGGATCTGACTCTTCTCCAGCTCTGAGCAGACCTGACCAGGAGGCTGAGGAGAGAGATGCTCCTGTGGACCAGCCCAATCTGACAGACCAGTGGCCCGGCCCCCCATGTCCACGACCAGACCAGTCTGACAGACCAGTGGCCCGGCCCCCCATGTCCACGCCATGTTGCAAAGACGTGTCAACCAAGACCGCCACAACTTCCAGAGCCTTAAGGAGATCTGAACCTCATCCAGCCCCGGAGACCTGCCCAGATCAACCCCAAAGTCCCCGACGCAGCCTCCTCCCTGGGAGACGTGATGGGACTGAAGATCCCTAGCCAGAAAAATCACTGAAAATATTCACATCATGCTGCTGATCTGTGCTGCTGATCTATTTCATGCTGCTCACACAGACTCATGTTCGTGCTGCTGTTTAGTGACTTTAGTTCATATCTTATTACTGGTTTTCTTCACATTTTATTGCTGGATGTAACTGGGACCTGTGGACACACTTTGTTCCACCTCATGTACCACATGGTGGAACAACTGAACCTGAACAAAACTCCGACGCATCAACTGCGCATGCGTCGGTCCCTCTCCGGCCTCTGGACCAGAACCCGCTCGGCTGTTTGGACCTCACGCGCTGCAGCAGAACTTCAGTACAAAGATCAAAGGTCGACAGGTGAGCTAATGGGATGACGTCACCGGATCAGGTGAGTTTGACTGGTAAAATCACGCGCGGTTACGGGAGCGCGCATTTTACCAAACGTAAAACGTTTTATCAAATTAATTTAAAATACAAAAGTCCTGAAATGTACAAAATTAATTTATTTAATTTTATAAAAGCTGAAAAATAAACGTTAAATATTTTAAGTCAAATTTATTAAAACTTGGAAAATAATAAATGTTGTGTTTCTTGGCTCCGAGTTTAATAAAAATAAATATTGAGGATCATTAATTTACAAACAAACAAACAGTCGGCTCCTTTGATCTTTAATCAGATTTGACAGAAATAAATAAACAAACTCGGCGGTTCTGGTCCCGGTTCGGTTCGGTCCAGGCGGGAGTTATTTTCACACGATGGCTCCAGGCGCAGTTCTGATCCACGTCCCTGCCGGTTCCGGTCCAAAACTCGCAGGTCGGACCTTTTTTTAAATTATTTAATGTTTCTTTTTTTTTTTTACAAACGGTTCCGGTTCTGTTTCTGGTTCTGGTCGGACCGGAGCAGAATGTTCTGTAAAAGCTCACTGATCAGTTCTGGTCAAGTCCGAAGGTTCGGCTCCGGCCCGGCTCAGGGCCGGTTCTGCTCCATCTGCTGGTGCTGGCTCCGGATGGCGAAGCGGCTCACGTGGACCGGGATCGGAACCACGATCTTGGGGTTCCGGCTCGGCTCCCCGGACTTGTTGTTCACGTTCCCGGCCTTGACCCGCTTCCACTTGGCGCGCCGGTTCTGGAACCAGATCTTGACCTGGACCTCGCTGAGCTTGAGCGCGTGCGCGATGTGCGACCTCTCAGTGAGCGACAGGTACTTCTTGCAGTGGAACTCCTTCTCCAGCTCCAGGAGCTGCTCGCTCGTGAAGGCCGTCCTGCGGCGCCGGTTCTTCCCGGAGGAGCCGGGGGGGCCCCCGGGGGGCCCGGCCGCAGGGGCCCCCTCTTCCGGGACCTCCGGGTCCTCCTTGTGGCTCAGGGAGACCGGGTTCTCGTCAGAACTGTAGTCCAGGTCGCTGTCCGCCACCGAGAAGGAGTCCTCCTTCCGGCCCAGGTCCTCGTCCTTCCGGTCCTCATGGTCCGCGCTTCGACCTGGGGGGGGGGGGGGGGGGGGGGGGGGGGGGGGGACACACAAACTGGGTCAGAACTTTGAGGTCTGCAGGGACCACAGGCCGGACCCATTTACCAAAATAAAGCTCATGGAAACCCGACCTGATCTCCAGGATCCCCTTCACCCCTAAAAACAAATTAATTTAAAGGTTTATTTAAAAAAATAGAGACCGCTTAGATTATTAAACAAAATTATTAATGTTATTAAACAATATTATTAATGTTATTAAACAATATTATTAATGTTATTAAACAATATTATTAATGTTATTAAACAATATTATTAATGTTATTAAATATTGTTATTAATGTTATTAAATATTGTTATTAATTGTTATTAAATGTTATTAAATAATATTATTAATTGTTATTAAATAGTATTAATTGTTATTAAATATATTATTAAATGTTATTAAATAATATTATTAATTGTTATTAAAGGTTAAATGAATGAATTATTGATCATAATTAATTTACTGAACATTGTTGATTATTGAGTTTTGGAATTGAAATGTTTATTATTTTAAATGTTTATTTATTTTACTTTGAACAGTTTATAAAATAAAATAATTATTTTAATTTTAAAATAATTTTAAATAAATTTGATAAATTTGAAAAAATTAAAACTTTAAAACTGAAAATTCATGAGTCTGCGCGCGTGCGTGTGCGTTTGAGCGATTTAATAAATGCGTGTTGGTGGGTTCGGGTCCAACAGAACCGAACCTCCGCCGCTCAAAAAACAATTCAACTTTAATTTGATAAAAACTTTGAGTTTATTTAAACTTTATTTTTTTATTCCTGAGTTTTTATTTTATTTTTATTTTGAGATCAATGAAAGGTTCCGTTCGGGCCCAGCAGAACCGGACCCCCGGACCTCCGGGCTCACCTGTGGACGTTTGGACCGGTGGTTCCGACTCGTGGAACAGGCCGGACTCTGTCCCCGGCAGGAAGCTCTTCCCGTCCTCCGGGTCCAGACGCAGGTCCCGCAGAGTCTGGGAACCGAACTTCCGGACCTCGTGGTGCTGCTGGGCCGGGGAGAACCCGCCGGGCAGGGAGGCCATCACGGAGCCCAGACCCAGGTTCTGGGCCAGGCCGGAGCAGAACCCGCCCTGCAGGTTCGGGATCTGCGGGTGGGGGGGGTGCAGGGCCGACTGCAGGCCCGGCGGGCCCGGCTGCAGAACCACGGACCGGTACGGGACGAACATGGGGTACCCGGTGTAGACCAGGGGCCCCGGTCCGGGCTGCGGGGGCCCCCCGATCAGGGAGTCGATGCTGAAGGCGGTTCTGGTTCCGAGCGGCCGCTGCATCACCATGAAGGCTGAAGAACCGAAGGCTGCGCTCATATGGACCCGAACCGGACCGCAGCGGAGCCGCTGGACTCAGCCGGACCTCAGAGGACACAAAACCCGATCAGAGACCAACATCCCGTCTAGACCCCAAAACCTCTGCGTCCCGATCAGTGACGCTCCGTGCGCGGGACAGTCCGGTCCCGGGTCCGGACTCTGCTGGACGGTCCTGCTCCTGTGGACCGGGTCAGGTGAAGTGCGGGTCCCCCGGACCGGAGAGGATTTAAACTGCGCTCCGGTTCGGTTCGTGGCTCCGCCCCCCTCCGCCTCTGATTGGTGGAAACTCCGAGCCTGTCCCCTGAGGTTCTGATGGAGGGTTCTGATGGAGGGTTCTGATGGAGGGTTCTGATGGAAGGTTCTGATGGAGGGTTCTGATGGAGGGTTCTGATGGAAGGTTCTGATGGAGGGTTCTGATGGAAGGTTCTGATGGAGGGTTCTGATGAAAGGTTCTGATGGAAGGTTCTGATGGAAGGTTCTGATGGAAGGTTCTGATGGAAGGTTCTGATGGAAGGTTCTGATGGAAGGTTCTGATGGAAGGTTCTGATGGAGGGTTCTGATGAAAGGTTCTGATGGAAGGTTCTGATGGAAGGTTCTGATGGAGGGTTCTGATGAAAGGTTCTGATGGAAGGTTCTGATGGAAGGTTCTGGACTGTTCTCTGCTCAGTCGACAGCAGAACATCAGATCAACATCCGGTCCTCTTCAGGTCCAGACTTCAGTCTGCAGGACTGAGGTCAAAGGTCACAGAAGTGAAGGTTCTGTTTGACCCAGAACCATCATGCAGAACCTGTGGTACCATCAGAACCTCACGGTTCAACAACTTCACACAGACTGTTTGCCTGAGGCTCACTTTTTACTCTGCGGTTCCTGAAGCGCTGCTGCTCGTCACCATGGCAACCAGCAGCTTCCATATTACCCAGCATGCTGTTCTTCCTCCTCTGTTTCCATCATGGCCGCCTCCACACTTCCTGTCATCTCAGGAAACAGGAACCTGGAGTTACAAAATAAAGCTCGCAGAGCTCTTTCAGAACAAAAGTCTGATGACAGAGTCCAGCTTCTGGTGGTTCTTTGGGTTCAGGTCTGGTTCTGGTCTCTCTTTGGGTTCAGGTCTGGTTCTGGTCTTTCAGGTTCTTTGGGTTCAGGTCTGGTTCTGGTCTTTCAGGTTCTTTGGGTTCAGGTCTGGTTCTGGTCTCAGGTTCTTTGGGTTCAGGCCTGGTTCTGGTCTCTCTTTGGGTTCAGGTCTGGTTCTGGTCTCAGGTTCTTTGGGTTCAGGTCTGGTTCTGGTCTCAGGTTCTTTGGGTTCAGGTCTAGTTCTGGTCTCTCTCAGGACCCATGATGCTCTCTGATGTTGCGTGATGAGACTTGTAACGACCCCCCCACACACGTGCATGGACACCTGCCCCCCAGTTCCCGGGGACAGGAAGTGATTGAGGGTGGGCAGCGGTCCAAACGGCGGCGCCGGCATCAAACAGTATTTTTCAATTAGAGGCGACAAATTCAATCAAACGTCTGAAGATGGAGCTCGGCTCATTTACAGCCGCCATTAGACAAATAGTGTCGTGCTGTCGGCTCGTTATCAATCACTGGGGGGGGGGGGGGGGGGGGCATCAATACAAGCAGCTGTGTGAGAGCTCGTGCACACATGGAGAGAGCGTGCACGTTCCAGCAGCTAATAAATACTCTCTTTTTGTTCTTATAAATTATCCAGTTTAATTAACAACATGGATTATGATTGGACCGTGATTTAATTAAACCTTTTCCTGTGAGTGGGGGGGGGGCATCCATTATGGGGGGGGGGGGGCAGCTGCTTACCTGCAACAAACAGCAATAATGTTCCCTGCCAGCAGTTATGGAGACAAAGGACCTGATCTAGATTAAGGCAGTGAAGGTAGGGCAGGTGTGATGTGCAGTGAAGGTAGGACCTCAGGCTCTGTTGAACCTCAGGATCTGTTGAACCACAGGTTTTCTTGAACCGCAGGTTCTGTTGAACCTCAGGATCTGCTGAACCTCAGGTTCTGTCGAACCTCAGTATCTACTGAACCTCAGGTTTTGTTGAACCTCAGGCTCTGTTGAACCTCAGGATCTGTTGAACCTCAG